AATTACCGAGAGTGAGAGCGGGCGGAGGTGCAAAATTTGAGACGAGATATTGACGCGGCTCAATCAGAAAACACACGGCAAAGCAATAATAACAAATTTAGCCATGTCTTTCAAATTGAGACGCATCAATACCTTCATCCAGTTTCAAAACTCATCTTCCGCCATAATCCTCTTTAATTTCATTCCACCGTTCTCTACGCGCCGCCGTGCATCTTCACGGGCCGTCACATCGCCGCTGGCCTCCGAGACTATTCTTTTGAATTGGGAGAAACTGGATACCCTTCTCCTTCGCCCAGTTTGTTAACTTTTATACACAAAAACTGGAAGACAAGTCCACGGCATTTATTTCCCTCTCCAACTGTCTTTGTATTTACGTAGATTTATTTATTTATTTATTTTTAATTTAATTAAATTAATAAAAATACTCGTAAACAATATTTTATTTCTAAAATACTCTTAAAATTTTATAAAAAATCCTAAAAATATATATTTATTTTTAATTTTGGAAGAGGGTTAGTACTATATTTAAAAATAATTTTATCGCGTTAATATAGGAGAGAAAACTGTCTATTCACACTTCATAGATTATCTTCGTTATTAATATTACTTTTAAAAATTTATAAGCGAATTAATGAAATTTTTAAAATTTAAACTCTTTTAAAAGTTTGAAAGTACACACATTTTAATTTTTATTAATTTAAAAAAAAAGTAATTTATAATTATATAAGTTAATAATTGAGATAATGGATTGATTTATGATATTGAAGAAATTAATTGCGTGGTGGGTTGAAGAGGTTGGAATAGACAGCCTAGATTTCACAATAATTAGGCGTACCTAATTTATGGAATCTAAAGCTGTAAATTAACCCATTTTATAGCAAAAAAATATATATAATTTATTTTTAATAGCTCAAAAATATTAATTATAAACCTATGAACCACCTCCCTATTAAATTGATATCAATATAAAATTTAAATTTCTACTCAAACAACTAATTTTTTGGATTTGAACGTGCGCACAGATTAAACAAAGACTAATCCAAAAAATTTGGTGTTAATTTAATATTATAATATGTTAATTTTTTATGGGTTTTGGACAAAATCATGACTTTATAATAATTGGATTGATCAAGATTTTGAAACAAAGATTTATTTTATTTTATTTATTTAGGTTATCTTGTAGATGATATATATATGTATAGTCATCATTTAAAAAATTTAGAGAACTTTAAAATATTAAATTAATTTATTATTATTATTATTTTGTCTATTTGGGTGCATGATGAATTTAATTCAACTTTAAATCTCTTTTACTGATTTCTTTTTAAAAAAATTATTAAATTTGCACATTTTATTATTTATTCAATAATTGATTGCAATTTAATCATAAAGGCTGAATAAGATATTAAGAAAAAAAAAATATAGTCGTTTTAAACGTGGGTTGAAATAAATAAAATTAAAAGTATAAAAATTATAATAGGCATTTTTAGTTAAAAGAAATATTTATAATAAATATAAGTAAAAATAATAATTTAGTTTATTAATTATAATAAATATAAGTAAACATATAAGATATATAGAGATGATGATTTGAAAATACATATATATATAACAATCGTGCTATATTCATGTTTGTTATATTTACACAAATTAGGGTTATTTTGTTCGAGTTCCTTAGAAAGAGTTGTCTCAGCTTCCTGTGTATTATGTACCTACTCACTTGTGTCGGTTTCGAGTACATACACATTTGAGCTTTTCTTGGGAGTATGACACGAGTTATTTGGCGCTCGGTACTTGAACATTGACTCAAGGTTTTTCCCTACCCCTTCTTACCGTAAAAAAGTAAGGGTATCTTGCGTCCTTGAACTGATAACCATTTTTCGACTAGCCTAACCTCCTCCGTCGCTCGGAATCAATAAGGGGTAGTACTGGAATATTCATATATTTTGGGTAAACACATTAATTATTTATTTTTTTAAAAAATAGGGTGAATAATAATAATAAAAAAAAGGTAGAGCAAATAAACGGTAACCGACAGAGGAAGCAAAGCAGGGCGCGGAAGGTGCGTGTAAAGGAGTATAAACAGCTTGGAATTAGAAGCCAACGTAAAGTCCACGGCCCCACGAGATTCTCTACCCACCACCACCACCACCACCGCCATTACCAATTTTTCTTCAGCACAGTCTTCATTTTCATCTTCTTCCTCAACCCTCCGTTTCTCAATCCCTCTCTTTCTCTGCAGGGCCCCACTCTCACCAACCTCCTCAACGTGAATTTCAAGGTATTTTCACTCTCCCTCGAATCGAATCGAATCGAATCGCAGTTCTTTCTCGCTTTTTTTGAATTCTATCTGCGTATGTATCTTCAGCTTCCTTGTTTCGATTTCTTCAGTTTTCTAGTTGATTGTTCCTTGATTTTTGGTCGGCGGTTCCGTGTAGTGAAGTTGTAGGTATATCTGATTCGATCGTTGAATACGCCTTGTGCATCTAGTTTCATTTGTTCTTTTCGATTAATTTGAATATGGTGTCTGATTTCTTTTTCGACCTTGAGCGTGATTTGAGGGCTTTGATGCATGGTTGGTTGATGAATCGAGCAAATGATTTGAATCCGTGTTTTGCCGATTTAAGTTTTGGCGTCAATGCTCTAAATTTCATCTTCTGATGGATGAGACCTTTTATCCTGGAAGGATCTTCTTCAACTTTTCTTTTCCCCACTGTTTTAGCCAGTTTTCTTGTAGGACAATGTTTTTGTTTTGTTTAGACTGTCCAAAGCCAGTTGTAGAAACTTGGATTTATGTCTATATTTTACTCGTGATTTTGTTTACAGGTGTCATTGCTTGAGCAATGCTTTTACTATAAAATGAACAAATTCGTAAGCTAAGATACATCGAATTTGATATAATGTAAGTTCAAATTTTCAATTCTTCTTCGTGAAGATTGCCTCTGAGGATTTGGTAGGTTGGCCATTGTTGTCTCCCTTCCTTTCTGTTTGTCTGTATCTCCCTCCCACGACTCTCTAGAATCGTATGATATTATTATCCACTTTGAGCATAAGCTCTCGTGACTTTATTTTTTGACTTCCCAAAAGGTCTCATCCGAATGGAGATGTATTCCTTACTTATAAATTCATTATGATGGTTCCCTAAATTAGCCAATCGGGACTCGCTCCCAACAATGTCGTTGTAACTCAATTCATCCATGCTTGCCCAACGTTCTTAATCAAAATTAATAACTCAATACATGAAGCTGTTTTTGATAAATTTCTGGAAAATGATAGTTGAAAATGGGAAGCAAAGCACCAAGCTGGGCTGATCAGTGGGGTTCAGGCAATTACGGAGTCGAGGACGACGATAAGATGGTGGCGAAGAAAGGGAGCGGCAATGGCAGTAGTAGCAAGAAGATGACAGAGGTAAAGGCAGCAGCTTCAGCTGGATTTGTGAAGGCGAAGGCTGTGGCAGCTGTAGGTGCTCAAAAAGTGAAATCTGGAACTTCAGTAGGCATCAAATGGGTCAAGAATCAGTACCAGAAAAAGGTCTCCAAATGACTCTACAAATTCATGTCTCTAAGCACTGACCATTTTTTCTTAACTTTCTCTCAAACCCATCTTCTCATCTGATAATTATTTGGTTTCCTACATTTTGTCAAACTCATCAATCAATCTAAAAAAGTAGACAAGATTTTTTCAGAGAACCAGATTGACAAGTATCATACCATGAACTGCTATAAATTCCCTTTCTTTACAGCAGACTTTTGAATGACGAAAATGAGTCTACTCGTTTTTCGTCAATTAAACTATACAGAAAGCTTGCATTTGAAGGTATGAAACAGAGTCAGCTGATGGGGGAGGGAGTGTAATGGATCATGAACTTCTACGATAGTATGATATTGTCCACTTTAAATATAAACTTTCATAGCTTTGCTTTTGGTTTCTCCAAAAGGCCAATTAGCTGACGTGAGACTTCTCTCCCAATAATCTTCAACAATCCTTCCCTCGAACAAGAAGAACAGATATTGATCCTTCCCTCTTCCCATCTTTTATACATGTATGCTCAGGGCATGCATTTTCAGCACGCTCCGAACATTAGCAGATATTGTTCTATTTGGACTTTCTTTCCAAGGACTTCTCCTCAAAGTTTTAAAATGCATCTCAAAATGGATAATATGTGCTAGCGGTGGACTTGGACTATTACAATAGCCCTCTCGAGCTCAAGTGTGAGACACAAAAGAACGAGCAGGCGAGCGGGCATCATTAAGGGACCCTCACTTCTTTGAAGCGAGTGCGTCTCGATGGGCTTCTTAAAACATCAACTTTTTTAATATCCGAACCCACACAGAAAGGAGAGGATTAAGGCTAAATATAAAAGAGTAAACGCATCTTAATCATGGTTTAGCAAGTGATTAAACATCACAAATTTGTGTGTTGGTCAAATGGGGTTGGCCCAGTTCATATCATTTGGGCTCTGCTCATCATACATGTATAGCAACCGTGAAGATAAACAGCATGTGATTGAAATTGAAAAGTTTAGGGTATAAAAGAAAAGAGAGGGTGAAGTTGGAGGGGTTTGTGAAGAGAATGAGAAAAAGGGTAAAGAAAAGGAGACATTTCTGGGTCTGGAGTCAATTCCAGATCCAGTTAGGAGTAGCAGGAATAAATTTGGCAACAACCTTCCAATGAAAAGGAGAACCCTCCATTAATGGCGTTAGCTACAATGGCTTAAACCACACGTTAGCTACAAAAGAAAAACAGAGCGGGTGGTGTTGAAAGTTGTAGGAACCAAAGAGAGTAAAAGAAAGATTCTGTGTTGTTTGTTTGCTTAATGAGCATTGCATTAATGGTGAATGAACAGAGCCAAACCAGACATCCCTTAGCCTCTCCGTTTCCCCCTCTGCCCATCATTTATAAATTGCCTTCATTCAATGCTCTGTGTGTGTGTGTGTGTGTAGAAAGATTCTGTGTTGTTTGTTTGCTTTTGTGTGTGTGTGTGTGTGTGTGGCCCTCTTCTTCTTCTTTAATTAATATTCCAACCTCCTTCCTTGTTGGGTTGTTTGAGACTTTAATGCTTCTTCGTTAATGCACTCACTCACCCATTTGGATCTTCCCTTTGCCTTCTTAAACATTTCCTCTGTTTCTCTCACTTTGAATCTCTCTCTCTCTATCTCTCTCTCTCTAGAAAAAGGAAGGCAGTGTCTCTTTGTGTTGTTACTGAGACATTGTGGTCTTGCAGGAGACAAACTTTTCCAGGTGGAATTCCGCTGTCTCTGTCTACTCAGAATTCCCATATTCATGGGTAAGTTTCTATTCGTCAAGAGGTAAGAGGTTCGAATAAACGTGGTGTGGTGTGGTGGAGTTTTTTTGAACGAGATGTTGGTTCGGTTCAATAAGAAAGCAGTGCTCTGTTTAACTTGTGTTCTTCTTTTTTATTGAGCCGTGCCAATATCACGTGTCGTATTTTTTGCTTATAATTTATAAGGTTTATAATACCATTGTCATGGTTAGTTTTTGTTTGGGAGAGTGACATGAAATGGACATTGTTTTGTCAGTGTTTGAATGTCTGAAAGAATCAAGATCTTGTCGTTGTGGTTGCTTTGCCTGAAAGGTTAAGAAGCTGAAAGACAAAGATTCTGAGTTTTAGCATGTCGTTTTGTGATGTCTTCTCTTCTTTCAGATTTCTGCTACCAATTTTGGTTCCACCATTCTGCCTTGAGCTGGCAATGCAGAGAACCAGAACAGAATGTAATCTACTGTTTACTTGGAGAATTTCCTTTTTATGGCAAAGCTGATCTTTTTTGCCGTCCTGATTTATCATTTTTCATTGCGTCGAACGAAACATTCTTGTTAAGAGTGTACAACTTCTTTCGAGTAGACACGTTTCAAAACTGTGAAGCTGACAACGATACGTAACGGAAAAAAACAGATAATATCTACTGACAGTGGAAGAGTCTGGACTGATACTGTTTATAATTCTTCTCCCCCTTTCAATACTAGTTAGAATAAGCAAATTTTCGAAACGAAGAAGACACTGATGCTTGACTACCTTTTAAGTCTGCTCGTTTGGTTGTTTTTATTATCATGTCTTCATGACAATAGGGAATTATTAACTTACAGATTGGCCCTCATAGCCACAAAGAATTTGTGTACTCTTCTGTTTCAGCTGCTGATTTAGCCAACCCTCAGAAAAATTGGAGGTGGCTCGTGCAGCGCTCTCTCTCTCTCTCTCGATCTGTTATTTTAAGTCTCTGGGTTCGTACAAGATTAGCAAGCTTTCTAGTACAGACAACAGCTCCGAGTATGGAAGAAGTCCAAGCAGCATTTCAGAAAGTGGCACTCCATAGTACATTCTCGCCTTCTCCACACCGTCGATGAACTTCCTTAATCCTCTCCGCAGACTTGCAAATCCCGCTGCAACTCCAATCGAATGAAGCAACGCAAATGTTTCCCGCCTGAGCCTTCCACTCGCAATCTGCACAAGAAGTTTGTGTGAGATCACACATCGGTTGAAGAGGGGAAAGAAACATTCTTTATAAGGGTATGGAAACCTCTCCCTATTTGACGCATTTTAAAACCTTGAGGGAAAACCTGAAAGGAAAAAGCCTAAAGAGTATAATATATGCTAGCGGTGGGCTTGGACGGTTACAATTTGCAAGTCAAACAATGATAGCTTCACATTAACAGATGGCAGGTAGAGTTTGATGCTACATCAGCACAGTCTTAGTGATAGGCCAACTGCATACCAAACTTGATCAGCCATTTGAATTGGTTTTTCAATAATACGATCCCGAAGGCAATTTGTTTTCCCCTAGGATGTCAGATTTACGGTACAAGATTCTTAGCTGGTTAATGTAACCTTGATTTTTGGTCAATATTTGCGGCTCTAATTCTATTAAATTCTATTATGATTATGGTATGCAGTATCTTTCTAAGTGGGAAAGAAAGGATAGAAAGAAGCTGAGGGCCAACAAACACTGGATTTGACTTCTGAACCAATATTCTCAGCAAAATGGTTAGTAGGGTACCAAATAGACCTCACTGAAAGTTGTCTTCCATGGACAAGTTCGTTGTTCTCGCACGTCGTTAAAAAAAATTGTGGGAAAACATTACCTGGTGGAGTGCCACAGCAGAGTCTCCGATCATCGATATGTTCGACATCGAGTCCAATAAACCAGGATCCCAAGGAGACATCCTCGTTAGCATACTTGTGTAAAAGATGTCTGAGATAAGGAAAAATAGACGAGCATTTGTGAAAATACATAAATGTAGAAAGCCAAAGACCATCTCTCAAATACATGAACTGTAGAAGATTACTGGTTTATTGAAATGTAAGAAGCCAACTCCTTTGAGATGGCATAAAGTTGTCCGGTCGCATGACGAAAATACTTGTTTCCAGCTTCTCCGAATTTCCAATATTCAGGCTCATGGTATCTCACTCCCCTGAATGATAGTTGATCAAGTTTTAGCTCAACATTGATCATAAAGGGAGAAGCAAAAGGAGAACGTATCTCACCTCTGTGAAAGCACAGGGCCAGATTTCATGCATCCGATGTATACTCGTGGCTTCGTTCGATGTCTGACTAATGTTTCACCGAGCGTTCCTGAGCCAAAGGATCGAAATGCATCAAGGAAACTTGATTTCCATTCCTTTATATTCTACATTGCGTTCAGAATTAGCATACCAATATTAACATGAACATCGTCATCGACTTTCACATAAAAGTCTGCATCCCATAAAGCAACGGCTGTCGCAAAGTATATTTTAGTTTTTGCTGATAATTCGAGGTAACCTTCGACATGGTCCTGCTCACAAATGACGTAAATAAGAGTAACATAATCATCACTCTATTATAACTTCAAACACGAGGAATTCAAGAAACTTTGGAAGATAGGTACAATACATTACCAGCCTAAGGAGATCTCCATGCTTTTTATCTTCTGCTTCAACAGCTCTGTCAAGAATACCTCCTGAAGTGACACTATATAAGAAGGGGAACTTTCTCAATAAGTAAAGAGTCTCAGCAACTCAAAGGCATAATGTTACGTAGATCAGAGAATAAACTCGGGTTGTTCACAAGTCTTGACTTCCATTAAAAGAAACTAAGTAGTCTAAACTCAATTAAGAAAGAAAACGCGAGCTAAGTGTTAATTCTGGTGAGATCCCACATTCATTAGAGAGAGAAACGAAACATTTCTTATAAGAATGTGAAAACCTCTCCCTAACAAACGTGTTTTGAAACCGTGAGATTGACGACGATATGTAACGGGCTAAAGAGGACAATATCTATTAGCAGTGGGCTTGGACTGTTACAAATGGTATTAGAGCCAAACACCGGGCGGTGTACCAATGAGGACTCTGGGTCCCCAAGGGAGGTGGATTGTGAGATGCCACATCGATTGAAGAGGAGAGCAAAACATTTTTTATAAGTGTGTGAAAATCTCTTCCTACCAGTGTACCAATGAGGACTCTGGGTCCCCAAGGGAGGTGAATTGTGAGATGCCACATCGGTTGAAGAGGGGAACAAAATATTTTTTATAAGTGTGTGAAAACCTCTTCCTAGTAGACGCGTTTTAAAACAGTGAGGCTGACAGCGATACGTAACGGGATAAAGCAGACAATATCTAGTAGCGGTGGCTTGAGTTGTTACTCTTCTTAAACAATCTTTTACAGCAAATCAATATTCAGAATAAAGGTACTCAGCTATGGTAATTTCCTTGAGAAGAAGGTAAAGTATTTAAACCAATGAAGCATACTTAAGCATGCCATTATTCAGTGCCACCTAATTCGAACTTGACATCTAAGGGAATTTGAGGAGGATAGGAAAGCGACCTGTGGCCAATGACAAAGCGAACAATGATGCCCTTTTCTTCTTCCAACTTCCTTCTTTTTTCACCTTTTTTTTTTGACAAAATGCAAGAACAGAAGCAACAATTCAATGGAAGTAATATGAATGGTATGAGATCAACTAAAATGAGAAAACAGATTAACATAATGAGAACGAATAATCCGAACCTTGAGGCATCCAGGTAGCCCGAACAGAATCTCTTCTTTTCCTGCTGCTAAAGGCAGTATTGATTCCTACAACCACTAAATACTTTCTTCTTCCAGATCTATCTATCTGCTTTGAATCTTCTGATAAAGGAGAACCGCTTTGGATCGATTCGTGTACCGACTTCGCAGCAGCTAATTCCATCTCTAAGTTAGAAATTGTCTTATCTAATGTGCTGCATTAGAACACCTTGTGGGTTAGTCATAGTTAAAGTGCATTCAGTCCAACAAAATAACATAATCACTTACTGTACAGCATCACGAGTCTTGAAAACCTTGCCAAAAATGTCTTTAGATGAAAATTTGACTTCCTGCTGCTGTAACTACAGAAATCCAGAGAAGAATTCAATGTGGATGCCAAAGTAATTACATTAGCAGGTTCATTATAGCACTGGAGAAGTAAGAGAAATTTGGAGATGCATACAGATTTGAGGCCACACCCCTCTGAAGCTAATTTCAATTCTTCAGCTTCCACCGACGTTGTTCGTGCCATACCTTTATGTTCAGGAATGGTCCACATTCTGCAAGAAATTCCATTCTGTCAATAACCATCTTCCTCAAAACAATTAGATTTGGTAATCAGCTAAGTTTCAGGGGGGGAGAAAGTTCTTGGTACAAAATGATTTCATTGAACACAGACACAGGAGCTTCCAGAAGTACTAGAAATACAGTGATAATAGCAAACATTGTCTAGAAATTGCTAGTAATAGTAAATCCTAAGCTATTGAATCCCAGAAGGAAAGAGGAAAAAGAAGAAAACATGAGACCAACCAAACTTCCATTCATTATTAGGAGAGAGAAACCAAAAGAAAAAGAAGAGAACAAAATTTCCATAGATGCTTCCTTTTGGATCATCCGAGTAAAGTAGTCATAAAAAGAAGATAGTTATTCCCAAATATCATGATCGAGAGGGGTAGCCTTTTCGTTTTCCCCAAAATCGGAGAGAAAATGAACTTAAAACAACTTAAAATATCAACACACATCAATAACAATCCCAGAATCGAAAATTAACCACGAAATCAAGAAGGAAAAAGAAGAAGAACAGAAACAGGAATTCGAAGTAAATAATCCGAGTCGCAAACCTATTGGTGAAGAGCATTCCAGAGAAAAAGCTCCCGAAGCAAAGGAACAGAGTCCATTTCTGAGTTACAACACTCGTTGAAGAATGATGATCGGCCTTGCTTTTCCAAGACATTTTTTCCTCCAAGAGAAGATGCAAAAGAAATCAAGCAAAGAAAAGCGCCAAATGCTTGGAGCTTCTGTGAGCAAAAGGAATTTGAAACAGAGATAGAGAAGAAGGGTTAAGTATCAGAAATCAGAATAAAGGCGCTCCCCTTGTTTATCTTTCTCTCTACTCCTCATTTGTTCGTTTCTTCATCACCGAGCTTTGCCTCTCTCTCTCTCTCTCTCTGAACACTGTATTTGCAGAGACTGCAAGTTGAAGTGAGCAGAGGAGAGGTAAGAGAGAAGACTGCCATGCCGTCATCTTTCTCGATACTACCAAATTACCAAACTGTCCTCACTCTTGAGTTTATTAAACACCTTATTTTTTAATCAAAATTAAAAAAAATTAATTACCAATTTATGCCGACTTTTAAAGTTAATTTGATGGGTATAAAATTAAAAATTATAATTACTAATGACGCTTTTCCCGTTATACCCCTGCCACATTTGGCCATACTGGCTTACATGATAAGGGCATAATTGCCATGGTACCAATAAAAATTAATAAGAATGGCTACCCAGCCAATGGGGCATGGAGAATTTATTTCTTTTCATAGGCAAATATATGTTGGGCCAACTTTGCACAAGATGGCATTAATGCTTATTTATTTATAAATCCACAATTTTACACAAAATTGGCATTAAAAGATCATATAAATCTAATAGAGCTTCAACATATAAATACACAAAATTGGACATAAAATTTAATATTATATTAAATAGATTTAATACTTTAAATGGGATGGGAAATATGTTATATAATTATTAGATTAAATTAAAATATAAAAATCTATTAGACATGACCTAAAATAGTAATTTAACTTAAAAATCAAGTAAAATAATCAACTTTTTCCGTACAAGAGGAAGCGACGCGCGTTTGTTTGGCTCACCTCTCCTCGGTAACCAACGTATCGTGTATTGTATTCGTGGTCATTTCCCGCCAAAATTAAGGAATTTTGGATGCATTTCATTTTCATTTAGTTTGACATTTCGAATTAATTTCGCATCACACATTATATAAAACCGTTCTCTTCTCCTTCTCTGTTCGTTCGATCACTCTCCCTCTCTTCCTCTACGAGTCCGCCTAATTCTAGAAAGCCACCATGAGAGCTCTGAAGAACGCTGTCGTCACTCACAAGAAGCCTAACGCAGAGTAATCCTCTTCTTCTTGTTTTAGTTTTTTTTCTTTTTTTTCTTTTTTTTGTCTTGAATAAGTTTTCACATTCTTTGTTTCGGTTTTCGATATAAGTTTCTTATCTTCTCCTGTACGATTAGTTTCTTTGATTCTGCAAGCTCTCCTCAGTTGCGATGTTGTACTCTCTGTTTCTGTATATGTATGTTCTTGTGCTTTGTAGGTAATGTACGTCCATTTTTTTTCTACTATTTTGTAATGTTTTGCCTCTTTGTATATTTGTAATTGAGATGAACTTCACCGCATGCGTTTGTTTCTAAATCAGTTTTGTTAGTTTTGTTTTCCTACACGAGGTTTCTTCACTTCTTTGAATCTCAACTATTCCACTGATATTATGTCCTTATTCCGCTCGCAATCGTTGTTTCGGAATTAAATCAAATAACTCTTGTAACTCTTGTATTTTCCGTACGATTTGGCTCATTTGAATGTGCTCCTGATGTTTTTATGCAACTTGCCATCTCCTTTTCATGATGTGTGATTTTATTACTGATATACTGTCCGAAGGATGCTGAAAAAGAGGAAAGCTGAGATGAAATCCACGAAAAGCAACAAAGCCATGAAGAAAGACCAGAATGCTCCTAAACGTCCAGCCACAGCGTTCTTCATTTTCATGTAAGTATAATTTATGATTTGGCTCTAGTGCTAGATAGAATCTGCTTTATTTTGAAACCTTTCTTTACACTCGAGCTTACATTATATTTATTCGTTCTGATTTCGATTTCTTGTTTTGGCAAATGATAGGGAGGAATTTAGAAAGACGTTCAAGGAGAAGTTTCCTGATGCAAAAGCTGGTCCAGCTGTGAGATTTTATACTCTTGTTTTAGTTAGCATACCTTTCTATTTATTCCTCCACTTTTATTTAAATACGATCCAGTGGATGATCAGAAGACTTGTCGAGTACTTAGCCAGATTTGTGGCTATCTGTGTTTCGTTATTTTGCAGGTTGGTAAAGCTGGCGGTGAGAAATGGAAATCAATGTCTGATGCTGTAAGATTATGATCACTTATTTTCGGACTTTCATAGAAAAGTAGTTCGTGACTAAACAGTTATTGTGAGTAACTTTAAGAATAAATGATTTAGGAATAAGATTGGAAGCTAATTGTTCTACTTTAGTTAAAAGATTGTTAACGTTTTGCAATCTGTGTTGGCTTCGCTTAGCCATCAGAATTATCAACGATACAAGTTTGTGGTACTTGTTTTTCTTCCTCAGGAAAAAGCTCCTTATGCTGAAAAATCTTTGGGAAGGAAGGCAGAGTACGAGATAGCTCTTGAAGTATACAAGAAGAAACTCGTAACTGTTTTCTTTTCTCTCTCTCATTTCGTTCCTTCAGCTTCACTTTGTCCGAACATCACCAGGTTTCATTTATTATCTGTTTGTCCCTATCTCTCTTCTCTAAGATCTCATGGTTTTCAGAATTGCTCTGCGGCCGCTGAAGCTGAAGTTGAAATGTCAACAGAATCACAGAAATCAACCTCTGATGTCCGTGATGACGGAGAGCAAGAAGCTAGCTCTAGCTCTTAGGTATTTCTTTCTTCCTATCTATAGTTGTCATACACCAATGCACATGCATGCTATAGCACAGCCGTGTGCCATATCATCTTCCCTTTGTTCTTCTAGATGTTGATTTTGTCTTATACCGTTGCAAGCAGCTGATATATGGCTTCCTACATCGTCCGCCAAGATTTGCAGAACTTCAGGTCCCTTGGAGGTAACAGAATTTCATATATTTTTAAATAAACGTTGCATGATTGTAGGCAAGAAGCTAGCAAGTGCAAAGAGAGTCAAGAGGAAGCTAGAAGAAATTGCATAACTCCTTAACAATTTTAGAACAAAATTAGGATTTTCCTTGGATGCATTTGTATATTCTGCGTACTTCTCTGCTTTGGCGATGAACTGCATGTTTCATTTCCCTTGAGGTTAGTCTCTGGTTAACAAGGGTTGCATGTTTTGAGTTCCGATAAGAAAAAAAAAAAACATATGGACATTCCGGAATATTGGAGTAGATCGAGTTTGATAAGAAATTTAGAAAATATAAGGATTTGAAACTTATCAAAACAACAGATAAAATCCAACCATAATTGAGCACAGCTAAAAGTCACTAAAGTTTCACATTAATTTTTTTATTCTTTTTTTTTAAAACATTTGTATTTTTAGTTATTTTTTTAAAATTATATTACATAAAACTATATTTAAATGTTGAAAAACTTGAATTTTAAAATATTTATGAAAAAGTAGGCAACAATAACGTGTTTACAAGTTTCAATTTTAAAACAAAAAATCAACGACTAGTTTGCTATCAAACGTGTCCACAAGAATTTCTTACTAACCATCATTCAATTTTGAACCAACAAGTCAGAGATGCATAATTTTCTTACGAGAGAACATACATAATAATAATCATTATATTATTATTATTATTATTGAAAAAGAGTTTAGTGGTTGTCGGCTTCCTATTAACCCATGAACAAAATATTGTTCAATCAAATATTAATATAAAGCCACGACAGCAAAAATAAGCGAAGTCAAACCCTTATCCCACTTGTCCAAACGGATCGTTTTTTTTTTTTTAAATAATAACCATACACGTTTATTAATAGCAATTTTCATATACACAAAATTTGGAACCTTTTGTTAAAAAAAAAAAAAAAAACAATTCTTCTTATTTAAAAAATGTATCTTAGTTGATTATACTATACAATCTAACATATACTTCTGCGATTTGGATAATATATATATATAAGAAAGAAAGAAAAAAGATTCCCCTTCTCAAATCTCGAATCTCAAGTACACCAGTTAATAAATCTTTATTCTATATATATATATATTTTTTTTTTTTTTGTCTAAAACAATAAATGTGGCACTTTCCATCATCAATCTGGGTAAAGTTTAAAAATTTTGAATTTCTATTATAAGAGAAAAAGCTCCATCTTTACCCTTTCTTAGAATCTCAATCTGGGTAAAGTTGCAACAATTTTCATGTTTTAAAGATGGGTGTGAATAAGATTACAAGTTCATGTTTTAAGGGTAATTAGAAAAAATTACGAAAAATTCTGTTCAGCATTTTCTTCCTTGTTATGATTTTCTCTTATAAATTACGAAAAATGGTGTATAGTATTGTATCATCACCACGTGTTATTACAGAAATTTATGGATCTTCCTCATCCAATCAGATATTGCAGTTGAAAACAATGCAAATGGTCCTCCCTCCTATGAAGGTACCACTGTTGTTAGTCGTTATGCGTTTCTTCAAGTGTTTGTGATGCGTATTTCTTTGACTCACTGTGAAGTTCCGTTTTCAAAGTAGATTATAATATGCTGAATTTGTTATTCAATATGATACCTTCTTTCAGTTTGATTCAGTGAATGGAGTGTGGTTCGATGGTTCTCGAGGAAAGAAACCTTGCGGTTCAGTCATTCTTTGCTTCGACGAACAGATGAGGAAGGGGAGAGAAATTTTGTGTTTGTTTTCTGTGAACTTGCGGTTATTTAGTCTGTTCTGTAACAGTGGTGATTCGGTGGACTTTGTCGATGAGCTGCTCGGAGTTGTGAGCATCGATTAACAATGATTGGTGGGATCATCGGCGGAACCAGCACCACGTTGTTAAACAGCTTTTGGGCGTCAAATCGGATGCTTGCATTAATGGGCAACAGTAAGCTTCTTTTATCAATCCTTAGAGCTTTTTGGTTATGGAAGTCAATTTTTCTTCTCTTTTACGTTCTTTGATTTTGCGTTTGCTTAGGATGATATGTTTTTCTGGAAAGTAAACCAATGGCTTCGTTTTGTTTTGTCATTAATAATATAGGATTTGAATGAGTTCCTCGACAAGATGTGTCAATCCCCCTTGACTTGTTTTCCTTGTCCTCCTCTGTACTTATTATTGTCCTGTATACTATCGATGATTTATGTCGCTGAAATAGTTAGTTTATGTTAGGAATCACGACCCTCTATAGTGGTATGATATTGTTCACTTTGACCATAAGCTTTCGTGGCTTTACTTTTTGTTTTCTTAAAAGGCCTCATATCAATGGAGACGTATTCCTTACTTATAAACCTAGGATCAACTCCTTTGTTAGTCGACGTGGGACACTCCTTCCAACAATCCTCAACAGTTCTCCCCTCGAACAAAGTACACCATAGCGCCTCCCCTAAGGCTTATGGAGCCCTCGATCAGCCTCCCCTTAAACGAGGTTCAACTCCTTTTCTTTGGAGCCCTTGAACAAAGTACACCATTTGTTCGACATTTGAGGATTCTATTTGACACAATTAAATTAAGGACATGACTCTGATACCATGTTAGAAATCACGACTCTCCATAAATGGTATGATATTGTCCTCTTTGAGCATAAGCTTTCATAGCTTTACTTTTGGTTTCCCCAAAAAGCCCCATATCAATAAAGATGTATTCCTTACTTATAAACTCATAAACTCAATAAACTCATGAAACTTGTAGGTGTAATGCATGTTCTTATGTGGGCTGCGTTCTTGATCTCCTTCTCTTCAATTAAAGTTTTCCTGGTTATCACCAAAAGCTCTTTGCCTGTTCAGCACTCTCCGGCTCTGTGAAAGGTTGCATTAGTCAGCTTTGAGTCTTCCTGGTCAAGGCTCGCTCATGGAGAGCTTATTAATTCTTACATTGATTGGTTCGATATGGGCATTTCTTGCTGGTTCTGCATGTTGCCAAAGGCCAGCGGTTGTGAACATTGGTGCAGTTTTCACTTTTGATTCAGTTATAGGAAGAACCGCGAAGGTGGCAATGGAAGCTGCAGTTTCTGATGTTAATGCAGACCCTTCCATTCTCAATGGAACAAAGCTGAATTTGGTCATGGCAGATACTCATTGCAATGTTCTCTTGGGCTCTATTGGAGGTACTTCACTGCACACAACTTCATTCATATTATATTATAGTATTTTGGCGACATTTTTTGAAATTTAATATTGGAATTCTTATTCTATATTGAATTTTTTTGATGTCTTCTTGTCTTACGTTACACTTTCTGACTTCCGCCCCCATGTGTGGCAGCTTTCCATGTTCTTGAGAAAGACGTGGTAGCCATCGTTGGGCCTCAATCTTCAGTTGTGGCTCATATGGTTCTACAGATTACTAACAATCTCCAAGTGCCTCTTATATCATATGCTGCCACTGATGCAACTTTATCTGCTCTCCAATTCCCCTTTTTCCTACGGACTACTCACAGTGACTCTGATCAAATGACTGCATTAGCAGAATTAATCGACTTTTATGAGTGGAAAGAGGTGATCATGATCTTTGTAGATGATGATTATGGTAGAAATGGAATATCCACTTTAACTGATGAACTTGACAAGATGTTTAAAATTTCTCATAAAATACCCTTACCTTCTCTGTTTCATCTCAGAGAAATCACGGACATACTCAATAAATCCAAGCTGCTTGGCCCTCGTGTCTATATTGTTCATGTCAATCCTGATCCTAAATTAAGGATCTTCAAAATAGCTCATCAACTTAATATGATGACAAGTGATTATGTGTGGCTGGCAACAGATTGGCTTTCTACTACCTTAGATTCAATTCTTCCCATGAACAAAACCTCTCTAAACATCCTTCAAGGAGTGGTTGTTCTTCGTCAACATACTCCTGAATCCAGCCAAAAAACAACATTATGGTCTCGGTTAAGGAATTATTCATTGAATGTCTATGCTCTTAGTGCCTATGATACCATTCAAGTACTTGCACGTTCAATCGATAAGTTTCTGAATGAAGGTAGGAGCATTACCTTCTCTTTGAAGAATAAGTTTCATGATTTAAATACAACTAAAATGCCATTGGGGAAGCTCAAAGTATTTGATGATGGTGCTCTTCTTTTGAGCATATTGTTGCAGACAAAATTCACTGGTTTAAGTGGTCGGTTCGAGTTCAATTCGGATCGGAATATCATCAGCAGAGGTTATGAGGTGCTTAATATCGATCAGACCGGGTTGCGCACGGTTGGTTACTGGTCCAATATCACAGGCTTTACAATCCAATCACCTGAAACTCTGAAGCAGAAACGAATTAGTTATACTCATCTAAACCAGACTCTTGGCAATGTTACCTGGCCTGGTGGGAAGACAGCAAGACCACGCGGATGGGTGATTGCAGACAATGAAAGACCATTGATAATTGGAGTGCCACTTCGAGTAAGTTTCGTTGAATTTGTTTCAGTAACCAATGGAAGCAACAAAAACATTGAAGGATATTGTATTGATCTGTTCAATGAAGCAAGAAAGTTGGTCCCATATGATGTTCCTTACAGGTTTATACCTTTTGGTAATGGCTACTCCAATCCTTGTTATAACGACCTTGTGAAGAACGTTGCCAACGGTGTAAGTAATCATTACATTTGTTCTTATTTATAACTTAGTCAACGATTATACAAGTTATATATATAGAGTAGATGGGTTATATCTGGTAAAACTATATATAGTGAACCGAACCATATATATACCCTTAGATAGTAAGTCATACAAAACCTTTAGTCAATATTCCTCGCATTTTCTCTCTTCTAGATCAAATATTTTCTCTCTTCTAGATCAAATATGTGCGTTGTTGTTGCGTGATCATAACCATATTATCTACTTGTTTGTTGTCCAAAGAGAATGAAGCGTTTACTTTCTCTTGTTTTTTCATTGTGATAGATATTTGATGCAGCTGTTGGAGATATTGCAATTGTAGCCAACCGCACAAGGATTGTGGATTTTTCTCAGCCTTTTGCTTCTACTGGTCTTGTTATTGTGGCTCCAATCAAAAATTCAAAATCAAATGCTTGGGTTTTCCTTAAACCATTTACAGTAGAGATGTGGTGTGTTACCTCGGCGTCGTTTTTTATGATCGGCGCGGTCATATGGCTTCTTGAGCATCGAGTAAACGATGATTTCCGTGGTCCACCAAAGAGGCAGCTCTTGACAGTAATACTGTAAGTGATCCGAAGGTTGTTGGCTTATTAATCAGTAAATGGTTGATACACATTTCCTTTAAAAATAAGTTGATCTTTGAAAATGTTTCCATCTTGCAGGTTCAGCTTCTCAACCTTGTTTAAAACGAACCGTAAGATATGTGTATTTTACTTCACGTTCTTTTATTTGTTGTTTCTTTTTCTTGTGTAACTCCTCGTTGGTTAATTTAGGGAATACTCATGAGTTTCTAAGTAAGAAATACATCTCCATTGGTACGAGGTATTTTGGGGAAGTCTAAAACAAACCAACAGAGCTTATGTTCAAAGTGGACAATATCATACCATTGTAGAGAGTCGTGATTCCTAACATGGTATCAGAGTCATACCCTTAACTTAGCCATGTCAATAGAATTCTCAAATGTCGAACAAAGAAGTTGGGATCTTCAAAAGTGTAGTAAAAAAGTGTCGAATAAAGGGTGTACTTTGTTCGAGGGCTCTATAGGCCTTTGGGGAGGCTCTATAGTATACTTTGTTCGTGGGGAGGATTGTTGAAAATTGTTGGGAAGGAGTCACACGTTGGCTAATTTAGGGAATGATCATGGATTTATAAGTAAGGAATACATCTCCATTGGTATGAGGCTTTTGGAGAAAACCCAAAACAAAGCCACGAGAGCTTATGCTCAAAGCGGACAAGATCATACTATTGTATAGAGTCGTGATTCCTAACAACAAACACCGTCTAAAATAAGAAGAAACAGCATCATCAAGTGGGCTTCATATGGAGCAAGTTCGACTCGAAGTCCGACTTTTAACTAGGACTATATAAGAGAAATCAAGCTCCAACAGCTTATAATTTAATCCACTCTATTCTCACTATGTTATGATTATAAATAAGAACAAATTTATACATTCAAAACGACAATTAGGCTTATTAATATTTCTGCTTCAATTTACCTAAAAAACTTGCTGTGACCTACTGTTCACTTGAATTGGTGTGGTAAATGTTTGACAAGATTTCTATATTACAGAGGAAGATACTGTAAGTCCACTTGGACGCATGGTAATGGTGGTTTGGCTGTTCTTATTGATGGTTATCACATCAAGCTATACAGCTAGTCTCACTTCAATCCTTACAGTTCAGCAGCTTTCATCTCCCATTAAAGGACTTGATGACTTGATTACCAGTGAACACCCAATTGGGTACCAGGTTGGATCGTTTGCATATAGCTATCTGACCGAGAGCCTTTACCTTCCGCGATCGAGGCTTGTACCTCTAGGCTCTCCTGAAGAGTATGAATCAGCACTATTGAAGGGGCCCTTCAAAAAAGGAGGGGTGGCGGCTGTTGTTGATGAACTGCCATATATTGAGTTATTCTTATCAGGGAGGAACGACTTTGGAATGATCGGTCAGCCATTCACCAAGAGTGGATGGGGATTTGTGAGTACCCTTCTTTAACTACAGCAGGAGATAACTGTGGACATACATTAGTAGGTGCATTAGGACTACTAGGAGATAACTGTGGACATACATTAGTAGGTGCATTAGGACTACTAGGAGATAACTGTGGGCATACATTAGTAGGTGCATTAGGACTAGAGATAACTGTGGATTTGTGAGTAACCTCCTCCCCTAAGGCATGTGGAGCCCTCGAATAGCCTCCCTTTAATCAAGGCTCGACTCCTTTTCTTTGGAGTCCTCGAACAAAGTACACCCTTTGTTCCACACTTGAATCACTTTTGACTACATCTTCGAGGCACACAACTTCTTTCTTCAACACTTGAGGATTTTATTGATATGACTAAGTTAAGGACAAGACTTTGTTACTACGTTAGAAATCACGAACGTCCACAATGGTATGATATTGTCCACTTTGAGCCTAAGCTCTCATGGCTTTACTTTTGGTTTTCTCAAAAGGCCTCATACCAATGAAGATAGTATTGGTGTAACAGTTCAAGCTCACCGCTAGTAGATATTGTTCGTTTTAATCCGTTACGTATCGTTCTTAGCCTCATGCGTTTTAAAATTTTTGAGGGAAAGCCCATAAAGGAAAGTTCAAAGAGGACAATATCTGCTAGCGTGGACTTGAGCCGATATAGTTAGTATTAGTATCCTATGTTACTCTTTTCATGGAATAGTTGCACGCCATTAATGTAAAACTTTCTACCAGGCTTTTCAGAGAGGATCTCCACTTGCAGTAGACATTTCAACAGCAATTCTAAAGCTCTCCGAGAATGGAAGACTTCAGAAGATCCACGAGAAGTGGTTCTGCAAGAAGGGTTGTCCTGGAGAGAGGAGAAGGAAATCTGAGCCTAACCAACTTCACTTACTCAGCTTCTGGGGTCTATATCTGTTGTGCGGTGCCTTTTCACTCGCTGCTCTTCTCATATTTTTGCTCCGAATCGTTCGACAATTCGCTCGATACACAAGACAGCAGCAGAAGGAATCTTCTCATGCAGAGACGGTATCATCTAATTCAAACTCAAGCTGGATTCATGTCGTATACAAGTTTATCGACTTCGTCGATGAAAAGGAAGAAGCCATCAAGAGACTTTTTCGAAAGAATGATACTCAGAATCAGGCTAAATGATAGCATAGCTTATTGATGTGCATTGGAAAAGGCTTGAAGGTAAATCCTGCAGCTGTTCTTGCAGGTTGGATCTTATGTTAGAAAAATATTATGCTATGTTCTTCCATTGCTGGAAAGTTACCCAAAATTTAGTGTTCATGTAAATAAGACTGCAACATTGAGATCTTAATTACTACCATGTTTGAATGGTAAAATTCTGTAAGATGAGACAAGTATGATATGTATGATTGCTATCAGTGTTTCATTCTATATGAAGTGATCAAATTTGGTAGGTTGACATTTTTAAGTGTATATTAGGATCGCGTCAGTATTACTAGATGTTCCACGTTAGTTGGGGAGGAGAACAAAACACTTTTTATAAAGGTGTAGAAACTTTCTCCTCAAAGACTCGTTTCGAAGTCTTGAGGGAATGCTCAAAGAAGACAATATCTACTAGCGGTAGGCTTAGACTTGGATTGTTACAAACCGTATCAAAGTTAAACATCGGAACAATGTGCTAGCCTCATGGCTGTTCGCCGAAGGGGTGGATTTGGTGGCGGACCCACATCAATTGGAGAAAGGAATGAGTGCCGGCGAAAATGCTGGACCTCGAAAGGGTAGATTGTGAGGACAATATCTATTAACGATGGACGCTCCAGTTAGTGACGAGTAGAGATTGGAGAAAAAAAAAAGTTTTTAAATTTTAAAATATTTATAAAATACTATTGAAAATCCTTTTTAAACAAAAATTTATTATTGAATTTTTTTTCCTTTTGAGCTTCATCGTCACGTCACTTGACTTGACCACGTGTGGTTGACCGTGTGTTGGGTACACTGTGTCTTGTGGATTTAAATAAATAAAAAAGAAATAGTTGGTGGGGTCCACACCCTGCCACGTGTTTCTCCCTATTTTATACAGTGACATAAAAATTTAAGACACGTCAGATATTGGATACGACTTCTCATATTGACAGCCCCCACTTGGTACCCTCAATAAATTTATTATACTTATTATTATTATTTTAAAAATAATTTTTATTATACTTCAAATTTTGTTTTTTAGACAATATTTTAAATTTTATTACTTTAATATCTTTGTAGTTACTATTTATGGTTAAATTTTCCAAAAAGAAAAAATCACAACCAATATTTCCAATATAAATTTTAGAAAAAGAAAAAGAATTTCATGAAGTATTTATATTCAACATTTGAATTCGATAATTTTTATACCTGAACAATAGTTTATAAAAAGATCTTTTAACGAGAAAATGTAGAACATAAATGTTAGGAGAGGACTCTTTGACCTGGACAACTTAGAGAAACGAACCAAAAAATAAATCGACTTTTTAGGTTGTTTCACAGACCGCACCTACCCCACAACTATTTCTTGTATTTTGTTAATTATATTTACATTGATCTATTTTTTATATTACAGAAATTAAATTTAAAAGACGGAATATATTATTTTTTAAAATTTAAGATAAAATAAAACTCAAATCTCAACCACACAAAATGTATTTCATTAATAATAATAATAATAATAATAATTTAATATATATTTTTAAAATTTGAAAATATCCGCCAAAGGTACTAAAGGTTGATAACAATGACATTTCAATAAATTGAATAATAAATGTGTTTCAGAAATAAAAAATGCACGGACTAAATTCATTTAATTCAATACTTTAATAATTTGAATTTCTCAACCAATTTCCACCAACTTTTTTTTTTCAATAATATTGGTTTATTAATTGTTTCGTTTTTTATTTTTTTATTTAACATGGAAACTTTGAATTGACTAGAAGATAAATAAATATATTCATTATTCATTATGAAAATATAATTTTTTAAAAAATATATTTGCTTATGTAAAGTAACGGATATAACTAAATTACATTTTAAGGAATATAATTATCTTCAATATTATTTTAATAATACAAATTAAGATTCCATAATTCCTAGGTATCTACAATCATTAAAATATTAAACATAAGTTTAACATAATATAAAAGCGTTGACCTTTGACCCAAGAACTAGAGAAAATAATTTAATACAATAATTACTCTAAAATTTTAACACGAATATTAATTAATTTAAAATAAAAATCGTGTTAGTAAACCAAATCTGAACATTTTTTTTAATAAAAAATATCCCATTAGACTGCCGTTGACTCAATTAATTTATTATTTTTTCCAATTCAAAATTGTTTATTATTTATCAATTACGCATCGTTTTATTATATATATATATATATATATATATAATTTGCTACGGTTGACCTATGGAATACTGTTTCTTGGCGAACACTGAAGAGTGTAAGAACAAGAACTTGAACTTGTAGTTTTCCTATTTTTGAGCTCTGTTTTGATTTCATTTGTTTATAATCAATCAATCTCTGCACGTGATTTTCTTCAACTTGTTTGTATATTTTAATGGCATGTGTTTTTGTAGAGTTCTTGAATTGATTATGCGGTTTTACAGTTCATTGGGAATGGGGTTTTGTTGGTAATGCTAAGAAATTTTTTGGGTATTAATTACTTGATCGAGTTTGATATGAGATGCTCCAAGTGGGTATTGATTATTATGAGTCTGGCTAGGCTGGGGATTACAATTTCAGTCGTGAAGTTGATGTTTAATCACTTTTTAGGATCTGGGTGTTCTTTTTTTTCAGGAACTTTGGGTTTATTCTGTAATGGAAGGGAAGTTTTGTGGAAAGATTTTGAAATAGGGACGGTGATGATTGTTCAGAGGGTGTTGATATCTTCAACAGGAATCATTTGTTCATCTTTTTGGAGCAATGTTTGTGTTTTGGGTTTGGAGGATTGTGATCAAAGCCAGAGTTGTGGTATTTGCATTGTTCTTTGGGGTATGGATGCCTTTGGGAGTGATTGGTGCGTCTCGAAACACGAGCGTGGTGAACGTTGGAGTTTTGTTCACTCATGATTCAGTTATTGGAAGGTCTGCACAGCCTGCAATTTTAGCTGCCATGGATGATGTTAATGCTGATAACAGTGTTCTTCCTGGAACAAAGCTGAACTTGATCTTACACGACACGAATTGCAGTGGATTTCTTGGAACAGTGGAAGGTACTGCTTAATCTTCTTTACTACGTTTGAGATTGTTATGTCAATTAGGACTGTGAGAATCATGAGTTGAAACTTAAATTTTATCTTGGAAATCGGTGGTAGTTCATATGTCTAATGGTTGCAGTTCTTGTTTTGGTAGATTGTTCAGTAGTTTAGGCATCAAGGATAGAAAATGATGCTCCTATTTGATTCTTATTCTATGCATTTGGAATAGGCTTCATGTTCTTGCATTGCCAAACATGTCTGCTATTCTATTGATTTGGATTTCTGTGGGAGTTGAGAGATCTGTGAATGAGGTTTGAGTTGTTAGATTCAATATCTCTTTGTGGGTGTCGATCTCTCGTTCTTTTTTGTAATCATTAGACGTGTCCGATTCATTAGATTGGAGTTTGTTTCTCAGTTAGTGCGAGATCTCATATCGGTTGGAGAGGAGAACGAAGCATTCTGTATAAGGGTGTGGAAACCTCTCCCTAATAGACACGTTTCGAAATTTTGAGGGGAAGCTCAAAGAGGACAATATCTACTAGCTGTGAGCTTGAGTGGTTACAAATGGTATTAGAACTAGACAGTGATGTGTCAGAGAGGACATGAGGCAATGTGCCAGCAAGGATGCTGGGTCTTGAAGGGGTGGATTGGGAGGTCCCATATCAATTGGAGATGGGAACGAGTGTCAGCAAGGACGCTGGGTTCTGAAGGGGTGGATCGTGAGATCCCACATCGGTAGGGAGAAGAACGAAAATAAGGGTGTGGAAACTTCTCCCAATCAGAGGTGTTTCAAAAATCTTGAGGTGAAGCCCGAAAGGGAAAGTTCAAATAGGACAATATCTGCTAGCGGTGAACTTAGGTTGTTACAAATGGTATCAGAGCCAGACACCAGGCGATGTGTCAAGAAGAGGCTGAACCCCGAAGAGGGGTGGACACGAGGCCGTGTGCCAGCAAGGATGCTGGGCCTCAAAGGGGGTGGATTGGGAGGTTCCACATCGATCGGAGAAGGGTACTAGTGCTAGCGAGGACGTTGGGCCTCGAATGAGGGTAGATTAGATTGTAAGATCCCACCTTAGTTGGACTACCGGATTCCTCATGGGACTAGGTCTTTTATACGTTCTTATATAATCTTATGCATTTATGGTGCTTCCTCCATGCATTTGGACATGTCTACAGCCTTGCGGCTGATGGAAGATGAAGTAGTTGCCGCCATTGGCCCACAATCCTCAAACATCGCTCACTTCATTTCCCATATCATCAACGAACTCCACATACCCCTTCTATCATTTGGAGCTACCGATCCTACTTTGACCACACCATACTATCCATACTTTGTTCGAACCACACAGAATGATTACTTCCAAATGAACGCAATAGCTGATTTCATAGACCACTTCGGATGGAGAGAGGTCATAGCCATCTTTGTAGATGATGACAATGCCAGAAACGGGATATCAGCATTGAACGATGCCTTAGCTAAGAAGCGTGTCAGGATCTCATACAAGGCCACCTTCTCTCCTGGCTCCCCCACTAGCGTGATAAATGACTTATTGGTATCAGTAAACCTCATGGAATCTCGTGTTTATATTGTTCATGTTAATCCCGACACTGGTTTATCAATATTCTCCATTGCTAAGAAACTTGAAATGATGAACAGTGACTATGTCTGGATTGCAACAGATTGGCTTCCGTCTATTCTTGATTCATTTGAAACAAACAATCCTGATGTAATGAATCATTTACAAGGAATTGTTGCTCTTCGCCACCACACCCCTGATAGCAATCTCAAGAAGAACTTCGCCTCCAAATGGAACACTACAAGCTTCAACTCTTATGCACTTTATGCATACGACTCTGTTTGGTTAGCAGCCAGAGCTCTCCACACATTCTTTCAAGAAGGTGGCAATGTATCATTTTCTAATGACCCAAAGTTACATGAAATCAATGGAAGCAAGCTACAGCTAACCTCACTTAGAGTGTTCAATGGCGGCGAACAACTTCTAGAGACAATCAAGAGAACCAAGTTCAGAGGTGTAAGTGGGTTGGTTCAATTTGGTGATGACAGAAACTTGATTCATCCAGCTTATGATATCATGAACATTGGAGGAACTGGTATGCGTAGAATTGGCTACTGGACAAATTATTCTGGTCTATCAACAATGACACCAGAGAGTTCATATTCAAAGCCTCTTAATGCTACCCCAAATGGCCATCTCTACACTGTAATATGGC